GGGAAGAATCACTTCCTTGGACCTGCTGGCCATACTGTTCCTGATACAGGCCAGGATGCCATTGGCCTTCTTGGCCACCTGGGCACACTTCTGGCTCATGTTCAGCTTCTTGTCAATCCAAACTCCCAGGTCCCTCTCTGTCTGGCTGCTCTCCAGCCACTCTGTCCCCAGCCTGTAGCGCTGCATTGCTTTCAGCACTCCCAGTCATCTAGAAGTTGCTGTTTTCTACCTGAGGCAGGCAGGAGAGAAGTTTTATGCCTGCAGTTCTCCTACCAGTGACATTTCTAATGCGTTAGAAAAATAAAACCTAGCAAGTCAGATGAAAAGGCAGAAGTTGATACTGCAGACAGACAGGCTGGAAAGGAAGAAGGAGTAGAATAAGAAACATCTCATTGACACATTATATTAGGAGTTTAAGATACAGCAGCTACTGTGCCCCTAAGTTCTTGTGCAGAGACTTTCAGCTACTCACTTACCCAACTTGCTGAAAAGCATGGCAAATTAGCTCACATTGGGATGCTGTGGTTTTCTGTAACCTAACTCCCCAAGTACACATGCCCAGACTTGCAAGAAAGATCAGAAACACATGTTGTGCAAAGAGTTAGGTAAACATCTGCCAGCCTTGCTACATGCATAAAGGCTTTACCATTTCATCTGCATCCATAGGTTTCTCTTCCAAGATGTTTCCTACAGTCACCGAGTGTGCTTTTCCTAAGCCTTGCTAATTAATGAGAATTCCCAAATTTGCATTTCTTCAGCAGGCTAAGGACAGGGGACATAAGGTCTAGGGAGACAAATAGGTCATTCAATTCTGGACTGCTCCTTGATTTTGCAAGGTACAGACAAAAGTGTCAAGAAACAAAAATGTAATATTTAAGTAGCAGTGAAGTGAGGGGAAGGACAACTTTTTCTTTCTTTTTTGGAGAACCTCCCTAAAACAACTGCAGAAGAAGAAAAGGCACAAAGTGATGGTGGTGCTAATGCTATGAAGAAGGAAGCTCAGGTGCACAGAGATACCCCGCGAAACAAGCTTGGATTAGACAGACTCTTAAACAGTACAAATGCAATTGCCACAGGGATTTAAAAACACTGAGAGACGAAGATTTTGTTTACTGCAAATACTTTTTTATGTACCTTAATGCCCAAAAGTAAAATAGAGGCTGGATTTATTCTGAAACATGGTCAGGAATTTTAAAACAGGCTTTTGTACACACAAACAAAGGGAGCATGGGAAACAAGAGCTTGTGAGTTACTTAAATGTCAAGGATTCATCGTACCAGGTAAAACTGAAATGTAGCACAGGGACTCAGTTTCATAAATGAAATGTCATTGCTGAGGGGTACAAATTGTATAAGAAAGATGGAAAGGGAAACCGAGGTGGCACTTTGTCAGATGCATTTACGGCTGCAGTTCAGCTGCAAAGTAGTAAAAAAAAAATAAAGAAAAACTGAAGTGGTCATCTGCTACAGCCTACTCCAGCAGTGAGAAAGCAGGAATGAATAAATCTCTCTCAAGTTACTCAAAGGCACAGAACACTGTATTTGTGGGGAATTCAGCTGCCCCCAGTTCTTTTAACAAGTACTGCAAAACACTGGCCAAAGATGTTCACCTGTAACACAGAAAGCTGCTCTAATCCAGACAGTACAAGTCCTTGACAAATAAACAAGAAAAATCCCCCAAACCCAGGAATTTAAGCAGAGAAAACTGCAAGTGACACCAATGAACAAAGTATCTAAATTTAACACAGTAGTTTATTTGTTTGACTTAGAAAAGGTCTCCAGCATAATTAACTGGACACATATACATTAAATATACAAATACATACCAAAAGAAACCCAGAGGGCACACATTCAGCCAGGAGTCTCATTCTGAAACACTCACTGTTTCACGCCAAAAATAAAGAGCCGTGAGCCCCAGCTTCGTAACTTTCTGTTCAAAACCAGGACCACAGCTGTAGGCCCCACAGATCAGCAAACCTGGGCTAACAAGCCAAGGAGTAAAAGAGATGCAGAGAACAGGCATCCTCTTGAGATTGTACAGGGTCAGGACACAGATGCCAAAGACAGTTAATCTGATTCTTTTTTTTTAGGCAAGGACCAAATGACAGCTTATTTGAAGACTGCTGTACCAGAACCCCTAACCACTGCTCTTTGTCACTCTGACTCCCAGCACCATCGACCACATTTTATCTGGAGAGCGAGAGGGGTTCATTTTACAGGTCACAGCCTCAGGTTTCTAGCACTCATTAAGAACCACAATTAGCAAAACTAGTCAAAATAAGTGTGGTCACCTCACCCAGACTCACTTCTGTTGCCATAGGAGCAGCCAAATAGTCCAAGTTCAGCTGATCTTATCTTCAGGGAGGAACAAGTTCCACCAGAGCCTGAAACATCCACTCTGGATCAACAAGGCTTCATGCATCCTGAGAGTCATGATGACTAAGAAGCAGATTTATATCATGCAAAAAAGTAAGTTTGTTCTCTCAAATTAAGTAATTAAGCAGTATGTGATAAGCCTAAGGAATTCTACTAGCCTCTGGAGTCAAGGCATGAGACTGACTTCCATGGAAAGAATTTAAAAACGAGTGAACACTACCTTTCAGGAACTGATGTGGCAACAAAGAAGACCAACAGATGAGCAACTCTCTCCTGTTAGTTGACAAGGTTAAAGAAAAGTGCTCTGATATCTATCACAGGAGAGTAAAGCACATTAATACATAAGCACAGAAGGAAGTGAAATCAGCCTCTCGGACTATTTGTGAAGTCACTTCCCCAAGATGAAGTAACAAAGACATAAACACAAAGAGACAGAGGACTGCCTGGAAAACCTGACCATATATATATCAATGTGGTACTAATTAGTTAATTAACCTATTGCACAATTAAAAAAATAAATATTCTGAAAGCCTGGGAGAACAAGGAAGCACCAGTTGACAATGTTCTTATCGGAACAGAAAGTGGAACAACATTGGCCTGATAAATTTATCTCTGATCTCTGCTAACAAAGTGAAATAAATACAAAGAGAGAAAAAAAGAAGTCTCCAAAAGTCTGGAGAGTAATCAAAGTATGGCAAAAATCAAGCCACTTTCAACAATCCTACAAACATACGAGTAGCTTTTGGCACACATGAAGTCAACAGGATAACTCAGGTTTTAAGTTACTTCTAAATCCAAATGGCGGTGTCATTTCCAACACCTTTTTTTCCCCATTACCAGAACAATTTTATAAAACACTGCTCATAATACGAGCTGACAGACTCAGCTGTAAAATTACAACTTGTTCCCAGAAGGCTATATATAATATTATACAGACTAGCAAGTATTTAATCCACTGAGCGAGGATAAGTATGTTTAACAGAGGGCACAATACCTTTGATATTTTAGGGTCTCAAGACACTCCGCAGGGTAAACACAATAAAACAGACCTGCTTGCTGTTCAAGTTAAATACACTTCCAGGAAAGGCAATTAATCAATCAGTCAGTCAGTCAATCAATCAATTGCATTTTATCATCAACTACAGACAGCTGTTTGAGTGTAACAACCACTACTGTAAGCCAGCACCTGGAAGAGTCTTTGGAACAGCTTATTCTGTGTTGGGAGTGTATGAACTGCCTTTGCTGTGAACTTGTTGTGCAATGAGATGGTTTCTCTGAACAAAAAGTAAGAAAACTAAACCTGTGTTTTTCTGATGTTTGAATATTTTTTTGGCTAGCAGGTATGTTAGCTCTCAGGTGTCTTCTTACAATTAGGATCTATTCTTAGGTATCACAAGAGGGCTTATTTTTGACAGCAGAGTATGTAATTTAGGTGGCAAGAAAGCAGAGTGAAGCATCAATCTGCACACTGTAGAAACAAAAAACAACCCGCTTCTCCACTCTGTTAGTGAGTAGAACTGGAAAAGGGCTAGTGAACAAGAGGACAGAGGTGTCAGTCAGATCCCATATAATGAATAGCTACAAGTACTGTGAGCCTGGAACTTGGAAAAAGTGATGACTGAGGACATATATGAAATAGGTCTGTAAAATCACGAGTGGCAAGGAGACAAGGAATAGGGTTGGTCATCACCATGTCTGACAGTGTAAGAACTGGGATCACTCACGGAAATCATCAAGAAAACTATTAAAACAGCCTGACAACAGTTCTTTTTCGTACCACACAATGAACTTGGGGTTTGTTGACTCAGAACAGTGTGGAGGCCAAAAGTAGAAAAGGATTTTTAGAAAGGGACTAAGTACGTTAAGGCCAGGTCCAGAAGGAACTGCCAGTTCAGAAAGCCCATAGAATGCTAGAATGGTGTCAGAGAAAGATCTCTGTATACAACCTTTGTATTTTATGCTTCTGTGATCACCTGTTACTGACTATTCTCAGAGACAGAATAGCAGATGAGATGGCCTTTGGTCTGATTGCACACAATTCTTCTTATGGATCAAAGCTCTCAATTTTAGCATGATTTAGAGTTTGGAAAGGTTAACTTTAAAGAAAAAAAGGCCATTTGAAAAGCTTGCATGCCTCCTCTGCTTCCTCTTTCAGCTCTCAGAGATGTGCTCCTTAATAATTTGGTTTCCATGAATGGTAAAGTACTGCTGAATTAGGAACAAACAGGATTTTCTAACAGCCACTGTAGTCTGCATTATTGCTCCCAGATTCTGCCCAGTCCCCCTTATAAGGCACTTTTCCTGACCCAGTCTGAACTGGAGTTTGAACATTCCCCTGTATTCAATTTTTCCTCTTTACTACATTCTTGCTAAATCACTTTGTTCAACTGCTATATTTATGCTATGAAACAGTTCGAATACTAATCTGTTGGCCTCTTGTTAGGTAAACCCTTCCTCCAGAGCACTCATTTCTGCATTGGTAATTGACAACAGGAATCTACAGGAAGACTCCTAGTGGACAAAGGATTGCTACACTGTCTGTAAACATCCTTATTTCACCCAGAATTTGCTACTTCGATTGGATTTAGCCTTCCAGCCAGTCAGATCAATACATTTTTGCAGTGCAGTAGAGTAAACAATGCAATACAGTGATTCCTAGTCTGTAGCTAGACAGACTGAAGTAGCAGCACAAGTAAGTCAGAAAATCTCCTGCATTTATCTGGACACAGAGCGAGCTCTGAGACCAGTCATCACAGTTGTTTTTATATGTAAAATATGTGTGCACACAGACATATGGACTAATACATTCATCACTAACCCTCATTTAAGGGACCGACCATCCAAAGTCTAAGCTTCACCCAGAAATGTGCTTTAACTGGGGGTGCCAGGTGCATCCAGGCCCGTGCAGTGGCTTTACAGACCACTGCGTGAGGATATGGCTGAAGGTTCTAAATCAATTAAGAAGTTACTGTTCCAGCTTGTTCAGTCTTCAGTTCTCCAGACAATTCTTCCCCATCAAGATAACACGCAGGTAGATTGTTTGTTTTTATCGCTCATAGTGGAGTTTGGATTCAGGTTACCTGGAATGAAAGGAAGTTAAAGTAAGGTTAATGTTAAGTAAATAAGATCTGGATAAAGTTTGGACTCACAGTTCACTCTCATTATTTACTGTATATCTTATGTTAGACCTACATTACTCTGTACTCTCTCATGGCTTTTTTTCCTACTGCAGTGTAGTGAAGAGACATTAAAATAAGAGCAAATGTGGAGTATACTGTGGAGAAAACTACTGGAGAAGTATTTCCAGGTTTTAGCTTGTACCCACGTTAGCCTCAGTGGTATTCTCATGTCCAAGCTGGCACTGAAAAACAGTCTGGCCATGCCTTGGGTGGTAGGTTTTCCAAAGAGTGAGGTACAGAAAAAACAAACAAACAAACAAAAAAACCAAGTCAGGTCATCTCATCCATTTGATACCCACACACATTTTCAGTAGATTTTTTTTCACATTTCATTTTAAACATCTCAAGTGCCACTATTTCCACCATTGCTTTTCCAAGACAAATCCCAAGGCCTCAGTTTGCTGCCTCAGTTTTTTATAATCTTTTTTTCAAAGCTTACTCTATGAATTTCTTTTGCTCCCAGTATCTGTACTTTTCAATGCTTGCACTTCTCTCTGGTCTCCTTCATTACAGCCAGATGTTGGTCTGGATGCCCCAGCATATTTTTTTCAAGCACTGTACAAAAGTGTGTTCAGAGGCTTTTGCAAGTAAGGGAGCTCATCTGTGCTCTGAGCTCAGCAAAGCTTACATGATCAGGGCAGTAGGTACTGAGAGGGGCTGCCATATGGCTTGCAATCACTCTGAACAGAGGCAGGCCCCACTCATGTATTTGTACAGAAGGAAGGTGTATGTGTATCTCCCAAGCAGTTGGAGCCAAATGCCACTTGTGAGTGAGAATAGGGAGGGAAAACTACCACAGGTCATGGTGACATGCCACTGAGAAGTCTCAGCCTTACTAAGTTTAGGGAGCATTCAACCCAAGCACCACCTCTGAACTGGGCTTCAAGTGAATAATTTTTAATGTCACTCTCTTGTCAGTATTTGATCAATTTTGTCCTTACCTGTAGATGATGGGGAAGAGAAGAGCTCTCTCCTCTCCAACTCCTTCTCTTCACTCTCTTCCACACTCCATTTTCTTGATATTCACATGGGAGGTTGCACTGCAACCTGCCCTCACTTCTGTGGCTGCTGTGTATGCTACTGCCTCCTCCCCACATCTCCCCTGGGCATTTCCTTCTACCTATCCCCACTCTGATGCATTCTGCATGTTACTACTAAGTTTATCATAACTCCTATCTCTTTGCTATCCCTTTTCCCCTCCCTGTGTGTATCACATTCAAGACCCTCGCATTTAGTTTCAAAAGTGTCTGTGCTCCTCTGCTTAATTTTAACTCCCAACTCCTTTATTTTTCTCACTTTTTACTCTTGTCTTCTAACCTTTTTCTACAGATCCCACTACAGTTAGAGCAAACACCCTCCTTGTACGTATAAAGGAGGTACATACAACGTTCCCCTCTTTCTTCCAGTTACCATCCCTCCAGGATGTCACCTTGGCTGAAAAACACTGGGGAGAACTATGCAGCTATTTCAGTAGTATTGCAGTACCCACTGTAAATACCATTTCTTATTGCAAGAAGCACCCAAAAGTGAAACACAAAATCCTGCTATTAAGGATATAATTGTTCTGCAATCGTCACTCATGAGGAGTGAAGGCTGATGTATGAAGCAACTCAGAACAGCAGACCCTTCTGAATGAGCCCACTTTGCTTTTTTCAAGGGAGAACACAAAATGAAAAGTCAGCTTTCCAAGGCATACAGCTTTCAAACCTTTGCAGTATTTCCTAGAAACTGCACACAGATGTCAGTGTCTTTGCTGATCACAGTCTGCCCAGCACCAGCTTAAAATTAACAAGACTCTGGTCAGGTTCAGAGCTGCTCTTGTGTTCCTGAGCGGGCAAGAGTGAAATTCAAGAGTTCTGTCAATTTGATGACGTGGTTTAAGAAAGCCTTGTAAGACGTAGCACAGTCTCCATGCAGTGTGCTAGTACAAAACCTGAGGGTGTGGATTCAGACACTTAGTTCGGGACATTATCTGTAGCCCTTGTATTTTCCAGACGCCTAATTCTGACTTATAGGTATCCTTTTCTAGCATGTAAATACTGCATCAGATTTTTAGCCTCCATCACAGCACACACTTTCATCATTTCCCTTCCCAGTTCAGATTCTCTTTGTCACTATTTGTTCCTACAAGACTGAATCTGACCTTTAGCCTGCTTGAATAATGTCTTTCAACTACTCTGTGAGCTACTGGAGGTGTGGATCTGGTCTCTCTATGCATTTGCAAGGTGGGATGTGTCTCTATGGTACTACAGAATTAATAGTGACTTTGGAGGATGTATGCACAAGAAGGCCCACGGGGCTTAAGTGTGCTGTTTAATCTTTACAAAAGGTAAGGGCAGCTATTTCAAACTGTGAAGCTCTGAATAATTGCATCCTAACCTGCCTGCATACCAAGTACCTTCTTCTTCATTTCCACTTCTCCCTTCTGTCACCCAGAGTATCACAGCATCGGTTTTTACTAGCCCTTAAAACTAAGTCAGCCCTACAGTTACCCAAGAACAAAGTGCCTCCTATCTTTATTTTGAAGCTGGAACTCTATTCCATGCCCATGTTCAGGAATTTTTTTATTAAATCCTAATGATGTATGTGCTACTGATCAAGTAACTACAGGATCTTCTGGATAACAAAATTTTTTCTGTTCCTCATAAGCCTCCATCTTGCTAATGTGCCCTCTACCATCTACCAGTGGCAGTTCACGTGCCACTTTGGGACCATTAGACTAGGAAGCTTTCTCTCAAGAACAGTGATTCAATTCAAAAGCAACACACAAGCAGTGATCTTCCTCCAGCCTTTTATGACACCACGTGACTGAAGTCTACTTACTTCAAAAGCTGTGGAGTCTCCTGCTGTCACCATGAACAGGCATTCTCAATTTGCATAAACCAAAAATACTAGCAAGGACTCACTGGAAAGATTTATCAGAAAAAATATGGCAGGGGGAAGGGTGGTGAGCTGGACCTCAGCATCCTCCCTGCACCTGTTCTCAGTCCTTCCTTCCCCTTTATTGAAAGAGGTGACAGCCCACAGGAAGTAATGGTGGCAATAAATAAAACCTGAACATAATAGCATGATAGTGTCTTTGTGGAAATGGTCTAGACTGAGCATCAGACTGTCTGGCACAGATACTCTGTGTTAAAAGAAACAGGGACATTCCTGCTGCCCGGACTGTGCAATGCTCTAGAAGGGTGCAGTGTCCCACTGTTCAGCTGGAGACATCAATCTCTTTCATGCCTTAATTTGGGCCTAATTTCATCACGACACTGCAGGGATGGCAGGCTGTGTGCTTTAAAACAGCTGACAGTGAGAAATGCAGGGAATCTCTGATGAAGTGCTGACAAATCAGAGATTGCACAATTCTCTACTTCTGTCACTAGAGGGTAGTGCAAGCCCTCAGGTCCATTCCTCCAAGAGGAAATGCCCATACATCTCCCTATAGGTCTTCACCGATTTTGGTTTTCCTGGCTGTGAGTAATGGGGACCACCAGCACATACTGTCTGTGCTCAAGACTGTCATTGTGACAGAGAGCCTCTTGATACCAGGGTTTACTTCTGCCTCCCCAAATGCTAAGCACACATTCTAAAATGGGTCTACTATAATATTAAATAAATTATCCATGCCTTCTTACCATTCCACCCTTGTGTTCATTTGGCATTTTGAAGTCTGCTTCATTCAGCCAGAAATATTTCTAAGAACCTAACCAAGCACTGTTGCTGACCTTTCCCATACCCTGCTTTTCTTTTTGGTCTCAAGAGAAGTCTTTCCATTTCACATCATGGTAAGCTGCAAGGGAATTCAGTCTCTCTATGCCTGCATTTCACATTCATCAGATCACAGAATGGTCTCTGGCCAGATAAGTTGAGGAGAAATTTTCTCTCTGCAAGTAGTTTATTTTCCTGCTGGTGCAGGATGTATCGACATCCAACACAACTCACTGAGAGGACGACAATCAGGCTGAATAATCCAAAGATTTACTTCAAACTCACAAAATATGTTAGGGAGATAGCTATGAACCCATAAATTGGTAATAATCTTTATCATTTGTGTCTTCAACTGACTGAAGCCTTGGAAGGACTTGATGAAAATATCAATCATGTGTTATCAAAGAAAGAAAAGTTGAGATCTAGTGATCTACTCTGTAGCATCTGTTTCCATGACCTTCTCCCCCATTTCAGAAGGTGATAAAGGAGCAAATTAAAAAGATTTTTGCACCCTTTCCTCCACTCCTTTTCCCCTCATCTCAATAAAAACACGTTTTTCTCTCTTCTCCACCAGGAACCTGTCACAGTAAATACACCCAACTCTAATGAGGAAAGGAGGGGTTACACTGAAAATCTGTCTGTGCCCTGCTAGCCACTACAATAGTGAACGTTCTCTTTGTCCCATACCCACTTGAAGTATGAGAAACATCTAAATGAGAAGTACCAACTTTACAATAAGACTGCCATTAAATTGCTTTCAATTTAAATTGCCTGTATCATTTGATACAGCTTCTACTTTTTGATCTTGCTCATTTTGATACAGAGGAAATAACAGGATCTACTCACAAGTGCCTATAGTGAGTATGTTTGTATCAATCAGCCAAACTCATAACAAGGGACACAAAAAGCAGAGTAAGCTGGTAAAAGTTTTTACCTGAGATGCCTCCAGTGCTCCGAACGCTAGCACGGCCAATGCTAAGCCGCTCATATTCCAGTTTCATGTTCCCAAGGTCTTCTCCTGAATGTCCTTCACTGGCAAAAGAATTGGCCTCAATGCTTGAGCCTGGAGACCGTTTGGCCTTGCGACTGAAAAGCCCACTGGCAAACCGTTTTCCTTGCTTTGAATTGGTCAGTGCGTCTTCCTTCTTCACATCACGAATAGATTCTCTGGATTTGGATTTATTTTTCAGGTCCATGTGGAGCCGGGACAACAGTTTCTGAGGGCTCCGATTCAGCTTGTTCAAGTTCTCCAGAGGGGGATCTATTTCTGGGAATACTTGCTCCAATGTGACTAAGTCATTCAGAAACTGATTTAACCGCTTCTTTGACTCACTTGTTTCCTCCTTTTCCATGTTTCCCTGATTATCTTGCCTGTGTCGTGAAGCCCAGAGCATCATATCACCACGGGTTGCCCCTGCAACTAAACCATACTTGGGGTTGATGAACTTCCTAGCCACAGTGGAGGAATGAAAGCCTGGCTTCCCAATTCCAAGAAGGAATGGATTAGCAATACCCAGTTCCTTGTATAAATTAACTTCCTCTGAGATGGCATAGAGCTCACGAAACTCAACGTCAAACATTTCTACATGCTGTCCTGTCAAGACTAGCAGGATGTTTCTGTCGATGTGGGATGAAGTCCATGTGAAGCTAAGAGGAGGAAACAGAACCAATGTTAGAGTTGTGGGTGCATACTTGACCCAGCCCACCTAACAAAACCTAAGACACTACATGGGAATATGCATCGTTGTGCCATTTGCCCACATCCTTGGCAAGATGGGTCACAATAGATACAACATTATTGTCCTTCTTTAGGTATGCAGACCAGATCTGGAAGAAAAGACTGTAAAACTCTGAAGGACAGTTTACGCTTTTAAAAAAGCAACATTGCATCAGGAGCCTCCGGACTGAAAACCTCACTGAAGAGAACTGAGCACAGTGACTGGTGGGGAGTCCCTGCAGACTCCCACCTGATGCAGTGTGGAACTGTCTCTAGCCCACTGAAATGTTCTACCAGCATGCTTATGTTCCACTCAGAAGCAGCTTGGGCTCTATGCCACCTTCTCTGTCATCCCATTCCAGTTTCTACAGATGCCACACAGATTAGAGGCTGGGATAAGAATGTGTATGACATGAGAAAAATACTCTCACGCAAAGTCATGAGCCATTCTTTACATAAATGCCTTAATGCCTTAACCAAGTGTGACCCACCTGTATGATCCAGTGGCCACCTTTTCACCATCCACCATTAGGAATCGGGAGGCCAGTGTGCCTCTGATCTTCCCTGATGGCATGTAGAACCCAACTCCTGTCACAGAACGTATGCGGATATTCTAACAGGGAGGTGAAAAGAAAAAATGCCACAATAAATAGGGCAGATAATTAGATAATTGCCAGCTCCAAGTCTTAACATGTCACTCACGTTATTTCACTACTTCTGAGACTACAGCTTATTTTGTGTAAGCCAACAGAAGGCCTACAGAAAGGAAAGCATTGTGCCATAAGACCTGCTGTCATCCCCTGTGTACGCAGGTCACTCCCCCCCCTCAGTTTACAGCCCTGACCAACAGGTCAGCCTCTTTGTAACCCAGCCTGCTGTCCTCAGCTATTCATCTGAGCCCACTGGCAAGACAATGCTGTCAAAATCAAGTAATTCTCCATCCCCAGTCCTGTGCTGTAGCTTGGAAGGCCCAGCCCACTTTAGAGGAATGAAGAGAAAGCTCTTGAGTTACACCTGCACTCTCTGAATCCTGATCCCTATTCCATAGCACTTGTGAGCTCTTCTCCAGATTATGGTAGCAGAACCACAAAGCCAAGGAACTCCACAACACCTGTGCAGCACAAAGGACACAGTTACTTGGAAGGTAATGTATGAGACGGGTCTGCATTAGGTTATTTTTGTGCTTGCGTTCCGATTCCCAACCACACGTGGTTTGACAAAACGACCAAATTAGAAGAATGGACAATTTAATTCTTAGAGAGGAGGAAACAATTCAATTGCTCAAAAGATAGATGTTTCCTAACAAAAGGAGAACCTTTATAATTTTGCTAAGAACCCCAAATAGTTATGGTGTCCACCCAGCTCCCCTGTTGTTCAACAGAGAGTGAAAAACATAGAAATTTTTTTGAACAAAAGGAGTAGGATGAGTGTCTCTACCAGTGTCCTGAATAGGTCAGCAGAAAAGAATTTCTGATGAAGAGGAAGGAAAAACTTTTCATAAAATGAATAGAAGTAGTTAGAAAAAGAATACCTCTCCCCAAACCTCACATCTCATACCCATTGGCCAGCAAACCTACAATTAATAAAACAGACCACTACCAAACACAGAAAAAACACAAAAGTTAAGGTTACATGATTTTCAGCAATAGATGTTTGCCCGCACATACTATAAGGACACATAAGCACATTGGACTGAGTGTTACTCTGTTCATGGGTCCTGGCTGTGCAAGACTGAGTTGCCAAACTAACATGAAACATCCTCCCTTCCCCCCACCCCAAACCCAAAAGCATTTATTGTAAGTTTGGAGCAAATAATCTTGTCACTCCGATACACAAATCTAGACAATTTTCTTCACTCCACCATCTGTTTCTGTAAGGATTCTTTAACAATGAAAATTCAAAAGGTACTGTGAACTGGAGTCATAAATCCAGGGTTGGGAGTCAGTGTAATCACAGTTCTGACACTATTCCCTGTGATGTTCTGGGAAAGTCAATTCACGTTTGCCTCATTCTTCCCTCATCTGCAGAGCAGAAGAATCAGGAGGATTTGGCTAATGCTAGCACAGCCTCAGATCCCACAAAGAGCTAAGTCCTATTATTATAAACCTCACTGACAGCTTAAATATTGATAGGCTATAGAAATCAGCATGCAGGAATGAGTGATTATAAGAATGCAGATTTCTTTCAAAAGCCATTTTTTCGAATATAGCTCTTACCTTTTCAATCTGCTCCTATTTCCCCCACTAAAATACAGCAGTTGCAATACAAATTCTGACTAACAGTAACTGATGATACTACTGTTTTGCATTCATCTATTGCTTGATCTGTCTGGAGTCCTGTGTGGGCATTAGCTAATTAATGCTCCCAACACTGCTGAAAGTATTATTACCCTGTTTTAAAGATGAGGAGCCTAAGAGAGAAAAAGATGAAGTGACTTGCCCGAGGCCTACCAGTGAGTCATATGTGTGGGATGCTGAATGCAGGTTGGGTAGAGCACAAGAGAAAGGGTGCCCTTTCCAGTAGTTAAAATAACATTTGCAGTTGACTGGCTGATCACCTGAGATAGTTTTTTTTCCTTGCTGATTAATGTTAGATGTGAGATTTGCCAAATCATGGAGTATCAACTGCAAGTGAAAAGAAGGACCTCGTTCTTCAAATCAGTCAACAGCTCTGACATGACATGTACCTTTGTGAATCAAGAATTATAAGCCTGTGTGAGCAGAAAGTTCCTTAGCATCTAACAAGAATGGATTTTATTGTGTTTGTACATTCTATCACCTTCTTTCAGTGGAAAGAGAGCACACTTGAATTTCTGTGGTAACTGAGCTGTACATAACACTTAGAAAGGCACAGGATAGAACTGAACAGCTGCACACGTAAACCTCCTTGAACGAAGTAGGTACAGGAGTGCATAAATACATCTTGAAATGCAGAAAACAAGCACAAAGTCATATAAACATCAAGTCACTTAACAGGTTATTTGTATAATGTTTTCTGCCTTCAAGCATCTTGGAGCATTTGTAGACTGCGATATCAAGCTGTACAGAGGAAGATCGAGCCTGGGTTCATGCACCAAGGGCTGCACAATAATAGAAGAGGAAAGACAAATATAAATGAGGTGATATTGCAGGCATTTTGGGGGGGCACTAGTGTTACAGTAGTAACAAATATTTTGGGTAGAGGACCAGTTAGCTCACTAGATAGAAGTGACCCCTCCAGATCTCTATTCTTGCAGAAGCCTGATTAAGGTTTGTTTTGGCTTATGGAAGCTGCAGTCTGCATTAAATTTCCACATTTCCTTTACACACACTTGCATCACTCCTCATCAGAAGCAGTGACTAACATCTCCCTGGCTCCAACTTAATACAGACTGGTAACAGTCAAGCCTGACTGAGCATCCTAATACAAACAGTGAAGGAATTGGTCTTTTTTGCTTTATTGTGACACACTTTTAAACCTTACCCTGAACCCACAGAAAGCTAAATTAGACACAGTTTAGAAAGTCAGTAATGCTGTGACTGACACTTGGTTGTCACTTGACAGACCTGGGCAGTAGTGCTCACAAACTGGGGTTGAGTAGGGGGGAGACACAAGAGAGACCCTAAAGGAAGGTGCTGTAAGTGCTTCCACCAGGGAATCCTGTGTGTACCTTCCCTCTTAGAACAACTGCTGATATATATACATATATATATATATTGCAAAGCAGGTGGGGATCTCTATTTCAAGTTAGGAGGGATGGCACTAAGGACCTCTATAAACTAACAGAGGTGAAACAGATTAAGGAGAGGCAACAGACAAAAGCAGTAGCTGAGAGATGATAGCGACTCAACAGTCCCTCATATTGTCTGTTTTTCAAAATGTGGAGATCCCCATTTTGCTGTCCCTGTGAAATTCAGATCCCTTCAGTCAATAAAATCTCTTGGGGTACCTCCTGTCCTTTGTTTCACCTGAGTGTCCTACTGCTTCACTTGACCACAGGGCTGAGGGGGAGGCACCAGATGCCCATTATTTCTCCCTTTAAATCCTAGATGGAGGTACCACAGAAGGGGGGGAATGAGAGAGATGGGATTCCTATGGACAAGACCACAGTAATGGCAGTAAGGGATTTTTTCTTATTTATGGTCTGCAAGAATATAATTTCTAATGATCAGACCTCCAGGTCAGAGAGATGGATGGCAGCAATTCATCTTACATAGGGACACAAAAGCAACCACAATCTGGAAGCATACTCAAGTAGTGATAGGAAATACTGTGGATTTATTCTGCATGTTTGCCCTGAACAGTTGTGGAAAAGGCATGCTTATTGACAAAGTAGTGTAACTTGCAAGTATTCAAGTAGAATGGGATGGAACGTGGTTAGCTGTGACCTGGCCTACCAAGATCATTACTGGGTATTATTTATTTGTGTCTTGGCAAAAAGAAGGCCTTGTAAGCTCCCATTTTCAGGAGGTCACAAGCAGACTAGAAGAATTCTGTAACAGATAATTAAAAAACCAACAGCACTGCATCACATCACATTCAGCTTCTCCCTCATCTGAGCTAGGAATCAATGAAGGAAATGAAATGAAATTCTGAAAGTGTCTTAGGCAGAAACTTTTCAGACTTCCTGGGGTGAGGGGAGAAACTCCTTACATGTTTGGAAAATGAATGTAAAAAATAACACACAGGTGAACTTCCTGCAAGTAAGTAATACCCTGGGCTTGTATGGAACTCTAGGAGAACTCCCTGTCTTTGGGAGTGTCTGTTATTAACAGGGATGGGGAGAAAAGCACTTATCTAAAAACTGGGGAGAGCATTAACCCTCAGGTCAAAAAAAAAAAAAAAAGGAATTTTCTGGAGGGGTTATTAATTTTGTATCTATGAGAACTCTGATTGACTGTGATCTCCAAAGAACACTCTTGTGTCAAATATAACAGAAGTCTGGCAAATCATGTCCGGTAGGCTCAGGAAGCCATATGACTCATACCACACAGGACATGCTCTTACTAACAACCCCTGAACGTGCTGATGGTTGAATTTAAATGCATTCCTAGTGAACTCTGGCCTTCAGACAAAAATTGAGGTTTTCTCATTTCATGTCTGGAGTTGGTAAAGAACTTTTACTCTTTGCAGAGTCAGGTACTGTCTTCCTACAGCAGTTTCCCCCCTTGAGACTGTCAGCAGATCATGATACCTTGCCATCTCACAGTAATACAATAGCCAGGAATTTTTTGAAGATGCCCAGCACTTTACACATACAAAGGGCAAAATCCAATGTTAAGAGTTTATCTCCCTGTATTAGAACTATTGAAGTATTCACTCTGCATTGGATGAACAATGGAACCAAAAGAGCAGGAGTCACAGAACAATATGAGTATCTGGTAGTGACAGAAGACAGACCCTGCAGCCCATGGTAGTGTGTCATCTCTCTCCCACTGGGATCAGAACTTGCCTCTAAACCTTAAAGTTATATCCCACATGGCTGCAACTTTCTGAGAAAAAAAGCCATCCTCTATATCTTGCACAAGCATTCCAAAGGAAAGGTGGGAAGAATGGCAGGAAAGAAGAGCATGCAATTCCTTTGCTGGCAAACTGTATTTCACTGGTGAAAATCTTTTAGAAGGAAGCAAAACAGTAACACAGAAAGACTCTGTAAGGAGATAATGTTTTACCTTTAGAAGAAACTCACATCAAAGCAGTTGTCAGGAGAAAGACATGTCATAGATAAGAAATGGGTGAATGACAGAGTTTACTGCACCACAGTTCTCATTCTTCCTCAGCAATTCCAACATCCTCCATGATCAAATAATATGGAACAAAATGATTCTGCCTGAAGAAGACCAGAGGCCCTTTCTTGCTTTAAATCTAGCTCTTCAATATTTGGCATGTTACATCAATGAGGTAGGGCTGGGGGCAGTCCTCAAGGAAGCCTTAACCTTGCTTGAGCTTCCTTGCATATCTAAACTCTGTTGTCAGGTGAATCACTATATGACGGTTTCTGCTACCCTGACCCAAGCAGCAGCATGTAAGATATATCCAAAGCAGCCATGGGTAGGATTCCAAGAGAGCATATTCCTTGAGAGGCAAATGACATGTTTCCCTGTTCCAGGAAGAATCTTCTCAGTCCTTCCATAGTACCATATACAGGAATTAGCTGCATTGGCCTTAACAAGATTAGCAAAACCCTTAGCTATACTGGAAAGGGAATAGAACAATCTTAAGGGGAATTTAAGATACAGTATGAGATAGCTGGGAAAAGAGGAGGAAAGTTGAAGGGCAGCATTCTGTGGGCTGGAGCTCTGCAGAAGAGTGAACAACTAGGTCAAAGGACATTAAAAACTTCTCAGTAGACTTGCCTTAGCTCAGCTTGTATTTGTACTTTTTTTAGCTGATGGAATCTAATGCAAAATGTAGCAAGGGTTGCTGTGAGAGAAGGGAACCACAGAGGGACACAGAAGAGTTTTCTCCTGCTTTTGATGGCATCAGTTTCAAACTCTGTCTCTTTGGAAAGGATCATAGAAATAGACTGCTGCAGGACCTAGGCACTGCTGTAGCATGTCACTGTGATGACTGGTTTAGGAGTGTAAAGTCTGTGTAGATACCTATGGAGAAAGAGATAAGAGGAAGAGCAGAAGACAACTGCTTACTGTTTAGAGACTGAGAAGGCAGACAAAAAAGGAACTCACCTCTCCAATAGCATCACAACTTTTTCTAAAATGCCAGGGCATCTTTTCATTCACTCTATCCAGGAGTTAAAATATGCAGTACTGAAGACATCATTCCTGCACGTGATGACATGATGAGAAAAGTACTGGGAAATAGGTAGCAGAGCAAATGGAACTACTGCTGAGATTTCTCAATTATGTACCGAAGAGACTCGAGCCTAGGCCACGGAATACCCCTGACACTTGAAACAGGTCTGTTATAATGATGTCTGTGTCTTGCTTTCAAAGACACCAGAGGAAAGAAATTTCCATCTCCGATTTGGAGAAAGATGAGAAAGCTTGTCAGCTGGATGGCTTTTTTGATGAAACTCAGAGCAGAGTGGTAGTTCACAGTTCATTCAGATTTAAGATGGTTCTCTTAAAATACTGAGAACAGTTGGAACACAAAGAGGGGCGAGTCTGGCATCCTAGAGCTTTTGTCCAACTTAGCAACTTTTTCAGCAACTTATTTGGAATAAGCTTGTAGTAGTGACAGTGATTAAAAACACATGGAAAAAAGGAATACCATACTAACTAGAAACACACAAAGGATTTCAGTCTGTATGTAAGGGAGTGAGATCCCTCTGAGGAGTGAGATCCCTTCTGCCAGCCAAACCAGACTGACTACACTGCTGTGCTGCATGCACTATATGAAGGCATATTCTGATATAGGGCTAGGCAGCAGCTATGCCCCTCAATCCCTTAAATTCTCATGCAAAGGAGGGCTACAAGCTCATTCACTCCAAGATGATCACTGCTGGATAGGAAAGTCTTGATTTCACAGAGGATGTGTGTCCTATAACTGAGATCCATGCAGTCATCTCAAAGAGCTACTGTGGGCTGTAGTTTGAATCTTCACACAGAAGACCCACAGGAATTTCCTTCAACAACTTTCTTCCCAAACAGGAATTTTTAGGTCACAAAAGCCAAGAAACTACCTAAATCCCTGTCTTAGGTGAAAGACAAAAAATCCAGATCTTTCCTTTTTCTTTCCTTCTGTATTATCAAGCCACTCTCTTATCCCTCTGTGTTCCATCAAACCCTGTCTAAGAGCTGTGATATGACTTTAGGGAGGAAGAGATGTGTTCGCCTGTCCAAGTGAGTTCCAAGATTCATTACAGCTGGAAAAGGCCATTGATCTGCAGGAGATAATAGTTCAGTATTGAATATCTTACCCGGATTTGCAAGTCACTGAGGTCAAGACATCTGCACATTTCCAGGAAAAGCTTCACACCCTCCTCATCTAGGATTATATAGACTGGGATCCAGCGCTTATATGCTGCATCAACGATATCGCGGAAGATGTCCCGGTCTGTAAATACATCCATGACCACTGCAATAATCTGGAAACAAGAAGACAGTAGACAGAAAACTGAATAAAATATTAGGAACTGAAAGGGAGGCCCCATCACACTGGTGCAAAATAAAGGAGAGCACTGATGCCAGATTACAGAGGAGAAGGATACAGGGCAGATGAAGTACAGGGATATACATGTCCAAGCACTACCAGTAATCTTAAAATTTTCTTGCTTGCCTCCTGACACACTTTGGAAGGAACTTAATAATGAGAGTTCTCCTTCTTCTTGGGGAAAATTACTTATTTCAGCAGCCTGAGGAATGCCAAAGCCAAATGCCTAGTTTTTCCTTTGTAAGGATCCACTTAAACAAAGGAGAACACTGAAAATAGATTGAAAAAGAAGACTGAAAACACAACTCTAACATTTAACTTGAAGGTGTGTAATGGAAGAATGAATGTGCAGAGGAATCAGAGCCTGAATCCTCAGCCCCGGTGCACAGTGCAAACAACAAGAATTCTATTTCCCTTTTTTCTCCCAAGTCCCTGTGAGAAGTCTGCTCTCAGGGCTGGCTTCCCAAGGAATGATTTATGGAGTTCAAACATAAACACCTCATATTTCTCAGGAAGGGACTGGAGTGTGTTCAAGATTTAGAGGCAAAATGATCATTCCCTCTCTTCACTTGCAATGTTTTTCTGGTATAAAACTCATCCCTCTTTCTGGGCATAGATTTTATGTAAAACAAAAAGGTTTAGCTGACGTGAGAGACAAGCCTGAACATTCATAAGATGAGTAACAACAAAACCAAGAAGGTTATGGGCAACTTTAATGCTGATCTTACATGTTTTGTCTCCCTTTCTGTATCTTTTATACCATTAGAAATACCAATTATTTTTTCTGCCTGAAATAGTTATTCTTCCCAACATCTGAAAGGTTATGAGTGAAGGACTACTGTTTTCCTTGTCCCTCAGTGAAACATCAACTTGCCAGGTCAGAGCTGTCATGCTGACAGTATGCTGGGAATAGAGTTGAGTAAATTTTAATTTCCCAGGTGCTGAGGGTCACAGTAATGAGCCAAGCTGTGCTGGAAACGGTGTGTACAGGTGTGAATGGAGATAAATATTGGATCAAACTGTAGGATTTTCTTCTCTTGATATTTAGAAGAGGTGCAGCTCAAGTTGCAGGAGCCCCCTAAGGAAGGGTGAATAATTCTCCACAGAGACTTCTTTTCTTTGAAAAATGTTCTTGAACAAATGGCTCCTGGGCAAGTGATGCCACAGTAAACATCCCCTACTGTGTTTGCTGAGTCTCTGCTTGTATGGCCAACAACAAGTAATACATCTGCTCCATCAGGCTCCTTCTGTCAACAGTGCTTAAACAAGCTTTTCTATGTTAAAAAAAAAAAAAGAGCTGACATTGTGTTTATGCTCATCATTAACATATAAGTTCCTGATACAGGTGAACTCTGGTGGAGCTACATCATACTAAGTCCCTCAGTAACTTCTGCTAGGCAGAGCTGCATGTCCAGTCCTGTCTTGGTTCTCACTTCCCAGCAAGATGCAGGGGATGTTACCAGAACCTCTAAAAATCAAAAAACAGTGAACTTGTGCCACTTTATTCCCGAACAACCCATATACAGGCAAATTATAATTAAAGGCATGAAGAGTTCACGCATTAACTCAGGCCTGCTATGCTCCCTCTTCCCTCCACACATTGTAATATGGATGTAGTTATTTAGGAACAAGAATGCCTGATAATATTCATCTGAAGTAAGAACATCTGCATAAGGAATTGATCAAGAATGGATAGCAAAAGTGTGAATTTGTTTTCTTCCCATCCCCTCCATTTGCAATGAGTCTAATGGCTGCAGAACCTACCCCACGTGCTGGACAAACCACTCATTGTTACTATTTGCTTTGCAATATGAACGGATGGTTCCTTCCAAGCTGTGGGGCCCTGGGCCAGTTCAGGCTAAACTGCAAGACTGTGGACCATAAAAACAGCAGTTCTGTACAAAAAAACAGGTAAGCTGCCTTGCAGATGGGACTTCCAAGCCAGCAAATGTGCTATGGGCAATGCCTGTTATGTTCACTTTCTCAAACCCCTGTCACAGCTGGTGATCTGTCAAGATCACCTAGGAACGTTCTCAAGTACAAGTCAGAGCATGAGTGTCTACCCCTGCAAGAGGTTTTCCCCATTTCTCTACCTATCCTATGGATAACAAACTTATCTGTAGGGCCCATAGGTGTGCCTAGCTCTTCACAGGAATTTAAAGATTGGCAAGTTAATGCTTGCCAATCTCATTGCAGCACGGTATCTTAATTAATGTATGTTTGTAAAACACTGATGATAAGCCACCCACAGACGTGGCACATATTACTAGTATCTGTTTAGACCCCCTTCGAAAAAACCAAACCCAACAAACCCCCACTGTCATCTGCTGATTGAAAAGCTGCTACCTGGAGCCGGGTTTTTACCAGGGCCAGCTCAGCTGAACACAATAGGCATAGTTATCTATGAAAAGGACCATTAAACACTCAAATGGCTGTTAAACATGAAACCAGCTTTGGGCTGGGAGGGGCACAGTTTGTCCAGTCAGTGAAAAAATAAAAATCTAAAAAGGAATTAATTACTTCTAGGTGCCAGGCACAGCTACTGAAAAAAAACCAAACAAACTTTCCCAGTTCTTGCGTGGTCTGTAGAGGCATTTGTAACAGTGCAGAGGATGTGAAGTTGCACTAAATTGGAGTGTAAGGATTTTACAGCTTCTGGGTCTTCTAAATGACTGACCACACCAGCCACTGAACAGTATTACAGGGTGTGCATGACTTTTCCGAGCAGGGAGCTGAGGGGATCACACACCAGAGCAGTGTCTCTATGGAAAGTTTGCTGTGTTTCCCAGCAGATTTGGTTTTAACAAGTTTGCAAAAGTTGTGCATATAGTGTGTGCTGGCGAGGGGAGCAGGTGGAGGAGGAAATAACTGCTGAATTAGAATGCAGAAAAACCAGAAAGCAGCAAAACTAAGCGCAGAAATGAAGTTTCTTACACTGTTTACCCCTTTCCCCATGGGGCTTGTCAGCTCTGAAGGGGATCTTTTCCTGGGCGGTCTTCCCTGGAAACTTCACCCACATCCAGGGTGGGTGACGAAAAACCTCATCATTGCCTTCACCTATTCAATGCAAGCTCCTGTTGCATCATGGCTGGCTTGTTTTCTTGCCAGAGGTGTTCTTGTCACTAACAAGTCATTTCCAGACAAAGATAAATAGGAGGAACAGCCGCGTATTGTCTGGACTCTGGCTACTTGCAGTCCAGGCTGGATGGTATTTGAGACCACAACAAATAAACCCGAAAAACACCACCCCATAAACAAACGCACTGCCCTGTGCTCAAGTAAGGATACCTGCACGCACAGGAGAAGCGGCTGTAACAGAATCACGACCTGCCTTCTTCTGAACCTGGGAATGAGACCAGGACAGGACAAAGCGAAACACAGGTAGAGAACCCCAAGTATGTGGGAATGGAGTGCGGTGTGAAGGGGTTTAACCCCATCTCAGGCATCAGCTTTAGCAAAGCGTAACATGACTGGCAACAAGCCGCAGGGAAAGCCCTGCCTGGTGGGTGCCGACCAGCTGGATAGCCAACACGCTCCTCCTTTGGATTGAGAGCCGTGGCGGGCTCTCTCCTGCCTTCCACCCACATCCCGAGCCAGGCCCTCCGCCCGCCTGGCCCCGGCCGAGGCGTGAAGGCGGGCAGGGGTGGCCCGTCGAGGCCGGGCCGTACCTTCTGCGCCTGCTGGATCATCTCCCGCACCACCTCCTTCAGGTGCGGCGCGCTCTCCTCCTTGCGGGGGTGCGTGAAGAGAGACACCCGGCTGATACCCCGGTAGAAGGTCTTGTCGGTCCAGCCCAAGTCCAACGGGGGCACCTCCGTGTCCGAGCACTCGGGCCAGTAGGCCAGCGAGAGGGTCTCGCCGCCGGGCCCCCGCGCCACCTTGCCGCCCTCCCGGGGGTCGTCGTACCCCCGCCATCCGCCCCGCAGGTCCTGCAGCTCCCGGCTGGAGAGGAAGTCGCGGAGCTGCTCCTTCCTCAGCGCCTCCCGATACGCCGCCTCGCCGCGGGTCACCAGCGCCTCCAGGGCTCGGCGCTGCTCCTCGCTGTAGTAGAAGCGAGCCTGGGCCTCCGTCACCTTCTCGTTGACGTGCAGCTCGTCCAGCAGGAGCACCTGGGACTCCGCCATGCCGCCGGCACCCCCAGCGCAGCGCCGGCCGGGAGGGAAGCAAAGAGGCTGCGGCAGGAGGGAGAGGCAGGGCCGGGACCGCCTCACCTGGCCTGCCCGAGCCCGCCCCGACGGGTGGGGCGGCCGCTCCCCCGGGCCCTGGGGACACCGCTGTCCCCACCGTCCTGCCCCTCTCCCACACCCCGGCGTGGCCTCGGCCTCTGGGGACGGGGAGCACAAGTTGGGGAGAGAACCGTTTCTGGGAAAAGAAGAACAACTTGACCTAAGGGATGCAGAATGCGATGAAGGGGAACAATGGGATAAAGGGAAGAGACTGGTTATGTGTCAGCCCACACCAGCTTTGGAGGGATGTGGGTTAGAAATCTTTAACTAACTTGTGAAATTGTGTCCTATGAGTGAACTTAGTGCATTAAAATGGGAAAACACCTCCAAGGGAAGACCCTCACCCACTGAACACATGAATTCAAAATGCCCTGTACCTTTAAACGGAGGGCAGGGAAAGTGAAGGCAATAGCAGCTTAGACGGGTAGTGATGTAGATTCATTATGCAAATGTTACCTGAATAAAATTGTATAAGTATGCTTGTATATGTATACATATGTATACATTGTATATGTATGTATAAATATGCTTGCTAGCTTTGTAGATTTGCCACTTAGCACTCATCTCTGCTCAGACATGAAATAAAAGCAAGTATCACTATTCTGTGTGTGGATCAGCTTCCACACTGGGTGAAAGAACACAGATTTAGGACAACACACTGGCATGGCCAGCACCGGCATCCCCAACTGCAGTGCTTGGAGGAGAACCAGGCCTGGGCCACAGGTGTATTTTGGGGTGCAAATGCAAAAGTCTATTGAAGACCTTTTTTCCTCCCTTTTTCACACTGGGCACCCACCTGTGGGGTGCTCATGAGGAAAGGGGGGGATGTGAGTGGGGCCAGAGAGATGGGGCAGAGCAAGCCATGGCCCATCAGCTGCAGTGGGCTGCTAGCTGGCCCTCCCCAAATCCACTGGCAGCTCAGTGACTCCAGAAAAGCAGGCGGCGTGGGTACCCAGCTTACAGAGGGGAAGATGACAGAGCGATGTGCCTGAGGCCGCCCAGCAGGCTGGTGTCAGAGCTGGGAATAAAACAGCCTTGCTTCCAGTCTCTGGCTGGGAGTCCATGAATAAATACCCCCAGCTCCACACATGCATCCCAGCTGAGAGACCAGGGGCTGTAATGTTAAATTATGATTTTTGCGGGGTATGTGATCGTTGCTAGGGGCCCTAATCAAGATTCAGGTCCCACTGCGGTTTGCAGTACATACACAATGGATAAAAAGCAGTGCTTTCCCATTGCAGCCCAGGGATGGAGCTGGCAGGGAATGAGCAAGGAAGCAAGGATAAAGGCAAAGGCAGTGGTGAAATACAAACATTCAGAGGCATTTGCAGTGCTTTACATGTGTGATTAGCCCTAAGTGCTCACATGCACAAAAAAATGTAGGGACAGAGCCACTGGAGCTGCTCTTTGTCTCCTCTCCCTAAGCAATCACCTGCCCTCAGTGCCTTAGTTTATTAAACCAAGGATAAGGTGGGGCACCACGGCTCTTTCTGTACTGTTCCTCTCTTTTAGGTAAAAGGGAGAATTTTAGTATTCCAGACTGTTATCAATAGCTTATCCTCGCATGAAATTCACTTAAAATTTGAAATTACACTTTGCAGAGGTCTACTCCTCTGCCTATCAAGTCCCCTTTAAAAATTAATTTCCATATAGGTTCTTTTAGCATGATTTCTGATGGAAATGAGATTTACATGGTCATGGTGTCTGCATCTGTCTGCCTGTCTGTCCTTTTCTCTAATAATTTTTGAGCCCACTATCTGATCTTGAACAAGTTTGTCAGAAGTGTAATTACATCTCTACAGATTTTGTGAAAATAACCAGCCTGATAGCAAATAAAGGCTCTATCACAATCCCCGACAGGGTAAGTTACAACATGGGTTCATGTCTTATTATATTTCAGATATTCCATAAAAGTGAGAATGCTAATAAGTGCCTGATCTGTAGGAAGAGCTTCAAATTAATTTTATGCCATCTTAGACATCCTAGTCAATCAACTACAATGTACAAACACACAGGAGATGCGGCTTTGTTAGTTCCAGTGCTCACTAAACTACTTGTTGGTTGTGTTTCTTCTGTACCAGAGGCTGCCATCAGCTCTGCTATTTCATGTGGGGCTAAATAAAATCTCTTTAATCCTAGGTGCTCTACTCATTCGTAGCTGTACAATCATTTGTGTTAAACTAAGACTCCCACATGAAAGCGACAGTAGGTTCACAAATATATGTATAGTTTTATATTTAAAAGCAAGGGAGCATTTTCCACGTCCAAGTAAAGGCAGTAGAGATTTGTTTTCAGCTTATTGTGATGAAATGTTTGGCCCCCATCTCTCACTTTGGAAGACAAAGTGTTGTCTGTGTGTTGATATGATAAATAGGGGCAAGGAGTTTTGCAAAAGCTGAGCGAGACCCTTTCCCAATGCAAACATGCGTCCCATCTCATCCCCCTTCCCATTCTGACAGCAATACATTCCAACCAAATCTGTTTCTTATATGGAGTTTTTATAATGTCTGATGATTCAGTTCCTTTTGATGAACCCTGACCCTCTGGCTGACAGCCTCAACTCACAGGGTGGTAAAAGGGCTGTGCAAACAAACTACCCTCTCTGTCACAAAGTTAACCCTTTGTGACTGGACAAAAAGGAACTTGGCAGGCAGGGTGCAAGGAAAGACTCATGGCTGGCCCTGCCCCTCCGGGATAGAGAAGTGAATTCCAGTTTCCACTCTAAAAGAGAGTCATAATTGTTTGAACTCAGGTTTTCCTCTCTGCCCTTAGCACTGGCTCTAAGAGAAACAAGAAGGGAGAAGGCTGCCTCTGAGTTGGGCTGAGGCAGCTGCAAATCCACACAGGACAGCACTATCTGTTCTTGGATTTGTTTTGTTCCTGGGGATTACTTGCTGGAGGGGCTTCCTGTGCATAGGAAGGGTGGGGCCTCTTTACTTTTCACCTTTGTTTGGGTGTCATCCCAGCCAAGTCCTGGTTAAGGTCTTGCTTACTTTTCTGGTCTGGTCCAAAATATTTTCCTAAGGATGTAAACTAACCTATCAGGAAATATTACCTCTTGTTGTAACCCTCTCCCAATGCATTACAGTGTTTTAAATCTTCTGCCTTCAAACACCTCCCACGTATAATCTGGTTATTTGGGCCTAATTGCTTCACTTTCCTTTGTGAAGCAGTTCAGGTTGTGCATTAGATAAAGATATGACACCTTATATTTAGCATTAATTGTAGCTGCACTTGTCCTGAGCACACATCTCTCTTGCCAGTCCTTCCAATGTAATTTCAGTTCCTAAATAACCCACCTTATGATACATTCTTTGATAAATTTCCCAGCGGTATTTTTCTTGTGACATAAACTGCTACAAGCTCTTGTTATAAATGTTTGGGTGCTCATCTCTTCAGGAATAAAATTCTGATGCCTTCCCCCTCACCTACATCTTATTTCTCCCAAGAGCAGTCACCATTTACATGCAAAATAGGCGTAAAAACAAGGGCAGAGATAAAAAATAAAAAAAGGTATAATTTTGTGATAAAGTGGTTGAGAGCTAGTATAGTAGAAGTTTTTTTCTGGGGGGTGGTATCCTCCAAAACAAAACAACAAGATTTACCAAAATGTCTTTGATTCAAACACACTAACTTTTGGGTTGTTTTTTGTTTGTTTGTTTTGTTTTGATTTGGTTTTTGTTTTTTTTTTCTCCATAAAAAGCAGCAACTGGTTTAAAATTAGTTTTGCAAAGACAGCTCGTTGCTTATGTGATGAAAGATACAAGAGAGTGTTTTCTATTTCTCAGTGTCCCAGCTATAGGTTAGCCTGAGGTGATGGGTCTTTGCTGTCTTGAAATAGAAGAGTAAATAAATAGGAGCCCATGTCACGGTTGTTATTAAACACTATACTCTTTCCCTGTGCTGGCTGGCACCACAGCAAGACTCACAAAAGCTTGGTGGAGATTGCACCTTCTTGACTCTCTTCTCTGCAGCAGGATCCAGGAGTTTGTGGGGAGACTGCTACGTGCACAGCGAGCTGTGCTCTGCTTGTCCAGAGTCTGAAATTTCATTTGCAAGGGCTGCCAAGCCAGCACAGGAATGAGTGCATTAGTCATGTCCAAGTATTGGCAGAGCTAAAAAGCCTGAAACAAGGTGATTTCAGGGTGGAGAGGAAGAAGCTCTTGCCTTCACAATTCCCCCTCCAGCCGCCCAAAGAGCTGCAGGCGGTGGGAGGTAGGTGTGTCACTTCTGCAGCAGCAGTGACAGACTGCAATCTGGAGGATGAAGAAATGCTTTCAGATGCTTCCTTTCTGTCATATTACACTGCCTCAGGGAGAAGACCTAGCTAGTGAATTGGAGAATTGCTGCAAATGAGTCAAGTGCTTCTGGCTTCCCACTCAGTTTTTCAGCTGTTGTTTCCATGTGAGAGTAAATAGGTAAAAGAGTCCTCTGAAGACAGCAGAAAGGAACAACTGTGTTCGTGGGCTCATGTCTTGCAGCAAGGTATTTGCTGACTGAGCATGCACAGAAAGACCTTTAGCTGTTTTCCCTGAGTGCTCCCATTCACACAGCAGCAGTCTGAGGCAGTTTCCTGTAAGAAATAGCGCTGACCCTAGCCTCTTGCTTAATTTTTCAACTCTTATACAGGCAAGGACTCAAAACTGGTTGCAATTCAGCTGAGCTACCCTGAGGGCCCTTGGCCAAGTCCTGTGCTGTGCCTCAGTTCCCAATCTGTAAAATGAGGAAAATATGACTCTGCGTCACAGGACTGTCATGGAGGAGAGCTTAAAAAGTAAAACCCCAAACCAACATCACCTACACTTTGGTTTCTCCTGCAAGGGTTGGGGGGAGAAAAAAAAAGGCAACTGTAAAGTCTCTTTACACACGAGCCAAACCCTGAATGGAAGCTGTTGCTA